AACTGAGGAAGTGCTACTGGCATCTAGCGGAAAGAGGCAGAGATGCTGCTTAACGTTCTGCGTGGCACGGGGTGGCCCCCCCAACATGGAACTGTCCAGTCCCAAATGTCGTCAATGCCGAGGGTGGCACACTCTGGAGTACATGAACCAGGCTTCATCAAGCACTTTCTCTTTGCTGCACCACTTCTAACTCATGCTCCCAGCACCCTCTTGAGGGGACGGAGCTGTTATTAGTCCTATATGACAGGTTTACAGGTGGAGAAATTAAGCTCAGAGAGGGCAAGTCACACGTTCAAGGTCACACAGCTGATGAGTGGCAGAGCTAAAAGTGGAAGCCAGACAGCCAAGCTCTAGAGCCTGAGTCTTAGCCATGATGTTAGTCCAGCCTGCGTAGGTACTGGTGTCACGGGCTCTGGAGTTGGGTCTGTGTTTGACTCCTGGCTCTCTCACTCTCTGAGTGTCTATTTCTCCTTCTGTAAAGTGGGACCCACCTCCCCAACTCACAGGGCTGTTGGGAAGGTTGGGTGGGGCAACATAAGACATATGCCACTCGTTGCCTGACTCCTGAGGTGTGCCGGGCTCCTGGCTCTGGTCTGGATCATGCTATGCAGACAAAGACAGCTAGACAGCAGGGTTGCAGCTGCTTCGGCGCAGGTAGCACGGGGCACCTATTGCACAGGGGTGGATTTACATGGTGGAATGGCCTTATTTAATCACTCAGTATGTGCTTTCTTGGGGGCAGGCCCTGTGCTGGGTGACCTCAGGGACCCAGAGTAGTGTCCAACTGGGTCCTTTCCCCAAAGAGCGTACTTTCCGGACAGCCTGGGATGTGGGGACCTGTGGTCCCCACCAAGACTGCAAGCCGGGTCAGCTTGATGCCCGTGGCCTTGCTCTCTGGCTCAAATTGCTCTCTGGTTCCAGAGGAATCTTTTTCACAGCAGAGCAGGCTTCCGTGCAGCCTGTTCTGGCCCCTTCCTGCCTGCTCCCGGGTTAGTCAGTCCCAGAGTTGAAGGGTGGGTGGGAGGTGGCGCTGCGGGCTAGCTCTGGAGCCAGACAGACAAGGGTGGGTGAGTTCAGGCTCCGCCACTTATTAGCTCAGTGACTTCGGGCAAGATGCCTTCACTTTCTCCATCTGTAAAATGGGGTAATAATACCAGCCTCATGGGATTGGGCATCCTATAAACTCTCTTTGGGTGCCAGCCAGGCCACTGGGCTGGGAATAACATGGGTCTCTTGCCCTCATGGAGCTTAAATTCTCGTGAGGGAAGACACACACGTAAGGCAATTCCAGATCTTCTTAAATGATAAAAAAACATTAATAAGGGTGCGTGGTAGAGAGCAGCTGGGAGGAAGGGCGTGTGGGTGCAGCGTTAGAATGGGCGGGCTGGGGAGGCTCCCCAAGGGGGTAATTGCATTGGGACCTCGATGATGAGAAGGAGCCAGCTGAGCAAAGAGGCATCCAGGGGAAGGGAACAGCAAGTGCAAGGGCCCTGAGGTAGGAGCTGGCCTCAAGTCTCAGAGGATAAAGCGGGGCCAGTGTGGCTACAGTCCAGAGAACCGGGGAGAGAGGGCTGAGAGGTGAGGAAGCTGGGCAGGTGCCAGACAGCGCATGGGCTTGTGGCCGTAGTAAGGAGTTTGGGTTTTACGTTGAGTATCAGAGGAAGCAGTTGGAGGGTATTGAGCAGGGAAGTGACATAATATGGTTTACATTGAAGAAAATAAATCTTTGTCATTGCTGTGGAGTGATTTTACGCTAGGGTGGTAGCAGCAGGGAGACGCCCGGGGGCCTTGTGGCGGCCATCCCAGCGATAAGATGACGTCTGTGGTTAACAACGTGGCGGTCAAGAGCGCAGGCTCTGGAGGTGGACTATCTAGGGACCGTTTCAGCTCTGCCCCCGCAGCCTGTCTTAGTCTGGGCTGCTGTGACTAATCTCTGGGTGGCCTGTGAACACCTTTTGACTTCTCACAGTTCTGGGGGCTGGAGGTCTGAGATCAGGGTGCCAGCGAGGTCGGGTGGTGGTGAGGGCTCACTTGTGCGCAGCAGAAGGCCGCCTTCTTGTCGTGTCCTCACGTGGCAGAAAGTGGGGCGAGAGCTCTCTGGGGTCCCTTCTATAAGACACTCATCCCATTCATGAGCCTTCACCTCGTGACCTCGTCACCTCCGAAAGGCCCCACCTCCTAACACCGTCACCTTGGGGGCGAAGACTCCCTCACGCATTTGGAGGGCACGCAGCCATTCAGTCCACCGCATGCCCTGTACCTCTGAGCTAAAAGAGGTTCTCTCTTGATCTCTTTTCTGCCACAAAATGGGGTTGGCAGCGGAACCTGGAAAAGGGCAGCTGCAAGGACTCCAGCAGGTGTCGTGAGCGAGCACGCGGCCCGTTAACCTCCACCTTTGTGGGCGTCGCACATCCACGGAGTTTCTGTGACGTGAAGGTGTGGAGGGGCTCTCCGTCCTCCCGCAGTGCTCCCAGTATCGGGCCGGACCTGTAGAGTTTCTTTGCTTTGATGTAGCAAGAACAGGGGGTGGACCTTCCTGTGACGAGTCTAACGGACACTCTAGGTAGGACATTGTCGGTTTCCTGGTTTTCCTCTCATGGTCACTGCGTGGCTGTGGGGTCCACACAGCGCCTTCCCCCACGGCGGGGAGCTCCAGACACAGGGAGCCCTAACTGGCCCGCCTCCTATCAGGAGGAAAATCGTCCAAACACAGACTTCCTCCTAGACCTCACTGGCCAGAACCAGCTCACGCGTCCAGCCCGCTGCCTTGTGGTCAGGGGGACTTCCATAGAGTCCTGTGATGCAGGCCAAACTGCTGTAACAAAGAGACCCCAAGGTACAGCACCTCAAATATTAATAAGATAGAACTTACGCTTTTCTCATAACTGTCCAGCGGGGTTCTGGGACGGGTTGGTGCCTGAGCCCCGTGGAGTCATCGGTGTCCCTTGTGTCCTGGTCTTCCACCGCCCTTGAGGTCAGGTGTCAGCAGATTTTTTTATGTGAAGAGCCAGATAGTAAATATTTTGGCCTCGTGGGCAGCCTTGCAGGTGACCTGCCCTGCTGCAGCTGTGCCCTGGTAGCTCCAGAGCATCCATGGACTGTGTGTGAGCAGATGGGCGTTGCTGAGTGCTAATAACATTTTATTTTTAAAAAGCAGGCTGCTAGACCAGCGGTTCTCAAACATTTAGAAATCAGAACCCCTTTATACCCTTAAAAAATACTGGAGACCCTAAAGCGCTTTTATTTATGGGGGTTATATCTATTGATATGTGTCTTATTGGAAACTAAGACTGAGAAAATTTCAAAGTATTAATGCATTTAAAAATAGCGATAAGAAACTTTTCATACGTTAACATACATGATATTTTCTAAATGAAAAAATAACCATGTTTTTCAAAACAAAAAATTAGAAACACGGCATTATTTTTTCACACATCCATGTCTGACTCTGAAGAGAGCTGGGTCTTGTGTCTCCTTTTGCACTCAACCCGTGGCCACATGCCTTCTAGAAAACCCCGCCGTGTGCTCGCAAGAGGATGAGAGTGGAAGAGGCACATAACCTCTTAGTGTCATCATGGAAACAGTTCTGATGTCACAGAAACCCTGGGGGTCCCCAGGTCCCCTGTTCTAGGCCAGGGTTTCTCAACCTTGGGGCTGGGCCATTTGCAGCTGTGGGGGGCAAGCCCTGTGCTTTGTAGGGTGTCGAGCAGCATCCCCGGCCTCCACCCACCAGATGCCAACAGCATCACTCCCCCTCCTCCGCTGTCCCCACAGTCAGAAAACGTCTCCAGACTTTTCCAGATGTCCCCTGGGGAGTTCAGGACCACTGCTCTAGGCTATAACCATTATCCTCCCAGCCCAAGCCGTGGCCAGTCTGCGTTCCCGCCTTCAGGAAGGGGAAGGAGAAAGACGAGGGCAGGTGGCTTCCTTGGGGGATGGAGGTATCGCAAAAAGGGGAGAGGGGCAGATGGGTGCTGGGGAACTCTTGGCGGTCTGCCACATTCGCTAACACTCGCAGGTGACCGGGGATCCGTCACTGTAGTGGCGTGTTTGGGCTGTGCTGTGGACTGAGTGTTTGTGACCCTCCCCCCAGTTCATCCCCACTGTGACCGTGTGAGGAGGTGGGGCCTTGGCAGGTGACGAGGTCATGAGGGTGGAGCCCTCACATATGGGATTAGTGCCCTATGAGAAGAGGCACTCTCTCTGCCGTCCGCCGTGCGAGGACACAGGAGGTGGCCGTCTGCAACCCGACGGTGCTGGCACCTTGATCTTGGAGTTTCAGCCACTAGAACTGTGAGAAATGAATGCCTGTTGTTCGTAAGCCACCCAGTCTGTGGTACTTTGTCATAGCAGCCTGTTGTTTAATTCTGGGGGCCGGAAGCCCGAGGGCAGGGTGCCAGCACGGTTGGTGGCAGACTGCCTCCGCCCGGTGTACTCGCGTTGGCAGAGAAAGGTCCCTGGTGTCCCTTCCTCCTGTAGGGCCACAGTCCTATTGGATTAGGCCCCCGCCCTTAGGGCCCCGTGTAACTTCACCTCCTTCCGGGCGCGTCTCCAAGACAGTCACACTGGGAGAGCTTCAGTACATGAATTTTGGGGGGACACAGTTCGGTCCTAGCAGTGAGTGAGGAAGAGGTTGGGGGTGGCTCTTGAGTAGGACCCCCAAGTGCGTGTCCCAGGGGTCGCAGGGCCGGGCCCATGGTCGGGGCGGAATGAGTCAGGTGTGGGCCGTGCCGGGGGGACCTCGCGGCGGCGCCAGGGCCAGGGCCGTTGCCGCCCTTGGCGTATGTTCTTGTCGAGTCCTCACGCGAGGCGCGGAGGCGCCTGGGTGACCCCGGGAGGGGCAGGCCCGGGGCGTGCCCCTGCCCGGTCCAGGAGGGGGCGCTACTGTCACTCTTCCGTCAGCCCGGCTCTCGGGCAGGAAACCGAGGCTCCGCGGGCGTCTCACCCTCCGACTCCCGCCGCAGGCTGCCGTCGCACGAAGGCCCCATGGAGGCCGCGGCCCCGCCGGTGAAGCAGGAGGCCCGGGCCGAGGGCCTGGCCCTGGACTCGCCGTGGCACCGCTTCCGCCGCTTCCACCTGGGCGACGCGCCGGGCCCGCGCGAGGCGCTGGGGCTGCTCCGCGCCCTGTGCCGGGACTGGCTGCGGCCCGAGGTGCACACCAAGGAGCAGATGCTGGAGCTGCTGGTGCTGGAGCAGTTCCTGAACGCGCTGCCCGCCGACACGCAGGCCTGGGTGTGCAGCCGGCGGCCGCAGAGCGGCGAGGAGGCCGTGGCCCTGCTGGAGGAGCGCTGGGTGAGCGGCGGGCGGGCGCGCGGGGCGGGGAGCCACCAGGTGGGGACGCTTTGGCACAAGCCCAGGGGGAGCAGCCCACGCGGGACGCCCTCGATCCCAGCACCGGTTGCCTCTGGCCGATCATCCAAAAGGATCTGAAACCAGTAAAACGTGAGAACAGGGGTTTGAGGCATATAACTCACAGGCCAACTCTCATCCATCGGCACCAGAATTCCCACCTTCTTGGAGGCGTGGGCTTGAGAAGGGATGTGAGCAGTGCGAGGAGCCCCAGAGCAGAGTCAGTCTGAAACTTCTCTTTTTTTTTTTTTGAGACAGAGTCTCACTCTTTTGCCTGGGCTAGAGTGAGTGCCGTGGCATCAGCCTAGCTCACAGCGACCTCACACCCCTGGGCTCAAGCAATCCTCCTGCCTCAGCCTCCCGAGTAGCTGGGACTACAGGCATGCGCCACCATGCCCGGCTAATTTTTTCTATATGTTTTTAGTTGTCCGGCTAATTTCTTTCTATTTTTAGTAGGGACGGGGTCTCGCTCTTGCTCCGTCTGGTTTCGAACTCCTGAGCTCAAACAATCCGCCCGCCTCGGCCTCCCAGAGAGCTAGGATTACAGACGTGAGCCACCGCGCCCGGCCCTGAAACTTCTTCTTTAACTTCCCGGCTGGTGCTGTCCTGCTCAGCAGCCATCCCGCCGCCTGAGCTGGGAAAAGTTCTGTTTCTGAGCTTAGTTTCCTCTTTTTTGGAGTTAGAAATAGCGTACGTGTTCTGCATGTTGTTAAGGAGTCTGCGCTCTATCCAAAGGGCGGGAAGAAGCTAAAGTAAGATTTAAAGCAGGTGTATTAGTTAGCAGTTGGTGCATGACAAACCACCCCAAACTTAGGGACTTAAAACAATAAACGCCTATCATCTCAGAAGTTTCCCTGGGTCAGGAGTTCGGGAGCGGCTCAGGCGGGAGGGCCTGGCTCAGAGTCTGTCGCGAGGTCACAGTGCGGTGTGGCTGGGCTGTCATCGGAAGGCTGGCTGCTTCCAAGAGGGCTCCCTTGCCTGGCGGTGGGCAGGAGGCCGCAGTTCCTCGCCGTGGCCTCTGCGTAGGTGGGCTTGAGCCTCCAACATGGCAGCTGGCTTCCCCTAGGGCAAATGATAGGATTTGACGCCTGGGTAAAGGCGGTGGGGAGGGAGAGGGAGAGAAATACATGCCAGTATCAGCTTTCTCAATTTGGAATGTGGTATCTCTCATTTCAGGGACCAGCGACCTCCCCAGAGCAGTCTTCAGCGACGGGGGCACCTCGGGATGTGGCAGAAGGCTCTGGGGTCGGTGTTGGAAAGGAGGAGAGTGGGCTGATTCCCCTAGGTGAGCGGCTGCTCCCTCGCCCCGCGTTCTTGCTGTCTCCCCACCAGGGCCCTTCGTCTCTCACCTGAGCCAGGGATGGATGACCCACTATCACTCTCCTGTTCAGTGAATGACCCTGGCACCAGGGCTAGAGCTGCCATGGACGTCCCCTGTCCTGGAGGAGCTCATGGCATGTGGGGTCAGAGTTAGGAGGGCAGGTCAGTTGCAGGGTGGTGAGTGCCCCATGATCAGTATCGCCTGTGGGCGTGAGCCAGGGACTGCCCGGCCAGCTCACTGGAACCCCACAGCAACCCTTCTGGAGACGTGGCATTATTGTCACATTCTCCCATCCAGTGCTAACCAGGCCCGACCCTGCCCAGCTTCCGAGATCAGACGAGATTGGGCGCATTCAGGGTGGTGTGGCCGTAGACTGCTATCACATTCTGTAGCTACAGAAACCCTGGCACAGAGAAACGAAGGGACTTGCCCAGTGCTGACAAAGCCACGATCCTACCTAGGTAGTCTGAGTGTTTACGGCCAGTGCTCCGTGAAGGGGCAGCCTCCCCCGTCACAGGAACGTCCCAGAATCGCTCTCATTGGCTCCAGTGGAGTCACTTGCTCTTCCCGGCCCAGTCGCTGCGGCTGGGGGTGCTGTGCTCTTGCGCCAGCGGCTGCACCTGGCGCCCACACCCGCCCTTGGAGCTGGCTCCATCCTGGCACACTGGCTAGGGAGAGGGGAGCACCATGGCGCACCTCTAAGAAGGACGGTAGAGCAGGCAGTGGAAGGCAGGAAGACGGTTCTGGCAGCTGGTGCGGAGCTGAGTGCTGGGAGGTCAGCTGCAGCCTTTCAGCTGGGAGAGCATCTGTTGAGCTGAGCTCAGGAAGTTCAACAGATAAAACAAAGTTGGTTTATCTCCCTGGAACTCCGCAGAGCAGAGTGAAAGCCAGGAGAAAGGAAATGTTCTCCACCCAACTTAGCCATCCCCACTTCCCACTTCCCATTTGTCTACCCAGATACCCACTCAGACACCTACCCACCCCCACCCCCTCCTGCCTCATACAGCTCCCACCCGCCTATCTGTCCCTCCACCACTGGCCTGCCATCCGCCAGCCATCTGCCCTTCTACCCGCTAGTCATCTGTATACCCCCTTTCTTCACCCATTCACCCATCCCCACCCCCTCCTCACACCAACCCATCCACCCATCATCCATCCATCATCCATCCATCTATCATGCATCCATCATCCATTCATCTAGCATCCACCCATCATCCATCCATCCATAATCCATTCATCATCCATCATCGATCATCCCATCATTCTTCCATCATCCATCCATTTGTTCCTGCATCCCTAATCCATCATCCACCCATCATCCATTTATCTGTCATCCATCCATCATCCACCCATCATCCATCCATCCATAATCCATTAATCATCCATTCATCCATCCGTTATCCATTCCTCATCCATCATCGATCATCCCATCATCCACCCATCATCCATCCACTATGTGTTGGGCATTGACCGCACCAGGCGCTGTGCTCGGTACAGAGGACCCCAGCATTCCCCAGCGACGCGGGGTCGTCCCTCATGCAGCCCTGACTCTGTGCCTTTACCCGGCAGGAGACACAGCCCCTGGGGCTGAGGTGCCAGCGTCGGGGGACTCCCAGGCCGTGCGCCCCTATAAGCAGGAGCCTGGCAGTCCCCCATTGGCTCCGGCGGCTCCTGGCCTGCCCGCCTTCCTGGCAGCCCCGAGCAGTACCTCCTGCCCGGAGTGCGGCAAGACGTCCCTGAAGCCAGCCCATCTGCTGCGCCACCGGCAGAGCCATTCCGGCGAGAAGCCGCACGCCTGCCCCGAGTGCGGCAAGGCCTTCCGGCGCAAGGAGCACCTGCGGCGCCACCGCGGCACGCACCCCGGCAGCCCCGGGCCGGCCCTGCGCCCACTGCCTGCGCGCGAGAAGCCCCACGCGTGCTGCGAGTGCGGCAAGACCTTCTACTGGCGCGAGCACCTCGTGCGCCACCGCAAGACGCACTCCGGCGCGCGGCCCTTCGCCTGCTGGGAGTGCGGCAAGGGCTTTGGGCGCCGCGAGCACGTGCTGCGCCACCAACGCATCCACGGCCGGGCGGCGGCCAGTGCCAGTGTGCAGGCGGCGGCAGCGCCGGGCCCCGAGGGCGGGGGGCCCTTCCCACCCTGGCCCTTGGGGTAGTGGCCCGCACCAGGGGCCACCCCTCCCTCCAGCGCTTTCTCCGCTCAGCCCCCGCCTTTCCCTCTTGTCTGAGCTTGGCTGCGCCTGCTGGCTCTGCCTCAGCCTGTCCTGTCCCTGTCTCACCTCCACCCTCCCTGTTCTCCGTTCCTGGTTTCTCCTATCCCCACCCTGTGAAGGGTGCCCCCTCCGGGTGGTCTTCTCCCTCCACTCCTCTCTCTCTCTGCCCAGCCTCCCTCCCCCGCAGCCCCGCGCTGGAGAGCTGAGATGGAGGCCCTGGGCCCCAGCGCGGAGAAGAGGAACTCGGTGAGGGCAGCAGCCCGGGCCCCCTTGGTGAAGCGAGGATGGCGGAGAGGGGTCTGCATCTTGTCCCTGTGAACCCCTCCCCCAGGGCAGGTGGGGTCAGGGGAGGGGAGGGGCGTTGCTTCCAGCGCTGGACTGGCCGTGGGCTCTGGGTTTCCCCGTCCTCCCTGTGACCCAGAGACATGAGATGGACAGACGTGCCTGCTCGCTGGGGACGATTCACCAGCATCCAGAGAGTAATAAAGTCACTCAGTGTGTAGACCGAGTCTGAGGCTCTGTCTGACAAGGCTGCCCTCCGGGGCTGAGCATCTGGGGCACAGCGGCTCTGGGGTTCCCTTTCTTGTCCCCCTCTCAGACCCTCCAGGCGTGAGGGAGGCCCAGGGAGTCCGGGCTCGGCCCTGGGAAGCAGCTCAGGAGTGCTCGGGCGGGAGTGGGCTGTCCCCACCTGCGTCCTCCAGAGGCGCAGTGAGGCTCACGGAAGGGCCCGGCCAGCACCCCATGGACTCGGTCTGCATCTGAGCCCCTCAGCTCCCTGGCCGTGTGCCTTACGCAGGGCAGCGTCCACATCCATCAGTGATAACAGTGGTTTTCCACCTCCTGTGCTAAGGGGTTACTTTGGCTGGGCCACTCCATTTCACCGGGGAGCTCAAATGTCAGTGTCAGTAGGTCTCTCTGGTGGCCCATTTTGCCAAGAGAGGAGTTCAACAGCTGGGGGCAAGGTGCAGCCTGGCAGCTGTGGGGCAGGGGCGGGGGCCCGGGGGTGGCTCACTGTTGGGTGCAGGCTTTGGCCAGGCCTGTCTTTTTAGGGTGCCATCTCGGCCCTGTCCTTGGCTCAGCATGGAGTCCTGGAGTCCAGACCCTGGTTCCTTCTCTCCAGGTAGGAAACCTCCAGCTTCCACCAGGTGCAGTGGCTTTGGACAGTGGAAAAGGAGAGATCTGAGTCTGCCCATTCCTCACTGAGGCGTGACCAGCCCTCCTGGGTCGAGCTTCACCCTGGTCTCTTGGCTCCTGTGCTCCCAGTGCCGGAGCCTGGCCAGGGTGCTGAGGCTGAACCCTCCACGAGTCACTGCTGTCCTCTTTGCATCCTCAGCTCTTGGCCCAAAGTCCAGAACTGGTGCATCTGACTGGTAAAACCAGGTTACGGCCAAGCCCTAGCTGCAGGGGAGTCTGGGAAAGCAACAGCTGGACTGTCCAGCATTTACAGCTGGAGCCCAGCTCTACCTTCCAAGCCTCGGGGGCAGGAAAGGGTCTGGGTGCTGGGCAGTGTTAAGGAAGACAGGTGACTGCTGCGGGCACCCGAGGCAGACCGCTAGTCCTCAGCGTCCTCCTTGTAAAGCCAGGCTAATAACGCCCCTTTGGGAATGTAAGGTAATGAACAGAGAGTGCTTGCCCGGGCTCGGGGCCTTTTTATGCAGCATCCTCTTTTTGCACTGAGAGGTCCCTGTGACCAGGCCGCTGTGTAGCAGAGAAAGCAGGCTTGGAGGAGGGATGTCACCTGCTGTGGGTCCTCACGACGGGACTGGGAGGAACATGGGAAGTGAGAGGTTGGGGACGCTGGGCCAGGCTGGGTCTGAGGACGGGTTCTGATAGTAACAGCAGACACGGAGTGAGCACCGTGGGCCAGACCCTGCAAATGCTTAAATCTGTCAGCTCATTCATTCCTCATCACCAGCCAGTGAGGCAGGCACTGTTGTCCCACCATTGTGGCCCAAAGTGCCCTGTGACCTGCAGGACAGATAGGGAAACTGAGGCACCGACAGAGCAGGTGCCTGGCCCACGCTGGCGGATCTGAACCCCACAGGCAGAGAGAGTACTTACTCCAGCTCCTAACAGCGCGTCGGCCGGCCGGTGTGGGCTGTCGCGGGCTCCATCCCTTTCTTCTGAAAAGCTCCTCCAGGCCCTGCTTCCCTCTGGGGACCCCAGCAACACATACGTGTGCTCACACACACTTCCTGCGTCCAGCCCTGGAGGGACAGTCAGCAGGCTGTTCTGTGGGCAGTCCGGGTGAGCCTCCGTTGTGGTCAGTGTTGGAGGAGCTGGGGAAGAACACCCCCGGGAGGATGAAGTGCTCCCCCCAGCCCCAGGCCAGGGGAGCTTTGGTCCAACACCCGATGGTGGGTGGTGGGCGTGGTGGGCCGTGCCTTCGCCAAGACTTGGATGGGGAGGGGATTCCTGCAAAACAAAGAAATACCCTCCACACAGGCAGTAGGAAGCTTTGGGACACCTGCTGACGCAGGCAGAACAGTCTCCAGCACTTTGTCAAGACTCATGAGCACACGGCACGGCCCGGTGAGCCCACTCCCCCCGCCCCAGCCAGAGACGCACGGATGCGCGGGAAGGCGTGTGAGGGGCCGGTCCTCTCAGTGCGGCTTGGATGGCAGAGAATCAGAGCGACGTAAACATCCATTACTGGGAGAGGGGGAACACACGTTATTCAGGAAAAGGCCAAAAATTTGGAAATAGGCAAAACGTCAATTGTGCAACTTTATAAAACTCTAGATTGTTTTTAAAACAGTCCAGCCTGAAGGTCAGACGGCTCTTGGGAAATGAAACTTTGCCTGACAGTTGCTTGCAGGCTGGGTGGCTCCCCACTCTGAAGCTTGGACAAAACTGGCAAGCTGCGGTGACAGTTTTATTCCGGCAGAAAAGATGGCCCCAGAGGTCACGGTTTGGCTGCTGTGCAGGACATGAGCCAGTGTCAGCGCAGCGGGCTGCCTCCGCGCCGCTTCCCCACCGCCGACTCCGCAGCCCGGTTCTCGAGATGTGCACCGACTTTCTGCTAGTTTGTCGTAAATGTGCCGAATAAAACATTGGCACATGCCTGTTACCCGTTTTTATGAGAATTGCTTTTAAAAATTACGACCTTATGACACTGCTGAGTACTACCAGAGGTTGCAGGCAACGAACCGTGGGTGCACACGGTGACGCGAGCAGATCTTTAAGACGTCGTGCTGTGTGGAAGGGGAAAAAAAAAGAAACATAAGGAGAGCTGTAGTGCCACCCCATGCACAAAGCGACACAGCAGATCCTTACATAAAAGCAGTAAAATTCAAGGGTGCGCATCCAATACGTAAGCGGTTACTTGTGGGAGGGGGAGAATGGAACAAGCAATGGAAACACAAAAGAGGAATGTCACAGATGCGAAACGAGAAGGGCTCTGCCCAGAGCGCTGGCCGTGGCTGGAGGGATGCGACGGACACACAGCCGCATCTGGAAAGAAGACTAAGCAAATAAACCGGCGACTTTCTCCTGCTAGTATCTGCTCCGATGGAGCCAGGTGGCGTGAGAGCCCTCCTGTGACCCACGGGCCACCAAATTTACGGCCACTGTCATATAGACAATCCTTTTTACATCAACTCCAACGCTGCAGACCAGGAAATCTGGGCTGTGGTTTGGAAGGCTGGGCCTTGACTTCCTTGCTTCTGCCTTTGTTGACAGGGGTGAAATTCTTGCCCATAGAGGTCCCTGTGGGAACCTACTGGTGGCCATAGGCTCCGTGTTGGCCCCAGTGGTGGCTTCCTTCCCTTCCTCTCCTTAGGGTTCTCTGGGGGGGGGGGGGGGCACCTGTCGGGACCCAGCTGAGGTAAGTTGATGTCACTCAAACTCCCCTCCGCTTGTGCAAAACACAAGTTTGGTGGAGCGCAAAGCTTCCTCCTACCAGCTCACAAAAACGGTCACTCAATATTCAGGAAATTTTTTTGGTGAGCTCATTATTAAACTGTTGGTATCTTGAAATCAGCCACGATGGAACATTTACGCCATGGAGTTTGGCAAATGCTACCAGTACAGGCATTTTTAACTTTAATTTTATTTATTTATTGCATATGGAATTGTCACGATGGGAGAGGGGCGTCACATGGCAGCCACAGACGTTTGGTCCATAGGGATCTCTTTGTAACTAGTAGAAGACAGTGGATCAAACAATAAAACGGATAAACAGACTACACAGTACAATGTGATCGATTTCACTAGAAAAGGGAGGGGGACTGACGGCATACCGGCGTGCGCATTTGCAGTTTTTAAAACAGCGGAGGTTGAATCATGGTTTCCAGGTGGAGGCGGGTGGGGTGTGAGCGGTGGTCCAAGGGTACGAAGTTTCAGGGAGGCAGGAGAATAAGTTCTGGCGAGCTATTGTACGGCACGGTGACCAAAGTTAACAATAATGTAACGCACACTTGAAAATTGCTGGGAGAGTAGATTTTTAAATACTTCCACTGAACACCAAGAAAAGTCTGTGAGGGGCAGGACATGTTAACCGGCCTGAGTTAGTCATTCCACGGCATAGGCACAGATCAGAACCACATTGTGCCCCATAAATACATTGAATTTGCATTTGTAAATTTCTTTTCCTTCTGTTATTTTATTTTTAATTCTTTTTTAAATTGATGCAGTAATTGTACATGCTTACGGGGTACACAGTGATGTTCCGGTGTATGGAGAGTACAGTGACAGGATCAAGGTAATTAGCATATCCGTTGTCTCAAACATTTACCATTTCTTTCTGTTGGGAACTTTCAACATCCTCCTTCTAGCTATTTGAAACTGTATGTTATTGTTAACTATAGTTATCCTATAGTGCTATAGAACCCTGGAACTTATTCCTCCTTTCCAGCTGTAATTTTTTTTTTTTTTTTGAGACATAGTCTTGCTCTGTTGCCCGGGCTAGAGTGCCGTGGCGTCATCCTAGCTCACAGCAACCTCACACTCCTGGGCTCAAGCGATCCTCCTGCCTCAGCCTCCCGAGTAGCTGGGACTACAGGCACACACCACCATGCCCCGCTAATTTTTTTTCTATATATATTTTTAGTTGTCCAGATAATTTTTTTCTATTTTTAGTAGAGACGGAATCTCACTCTTGCTCAGGCTGGTCTCGAACTCCTGACTCCGAGCCATCCTCCCGCCTCGGCCTCCCAGAGTGCTAGGATTACAGGCGTAAGCCACCGCGCCCGGACCTCCAGCTGTAATTTGTGTCCCCTAACAAATCTCTCCCTCTCCCTCCCTGCCCCACCCTACCCCGCCCCATGAGTGTGTGAGATGCTGGATATGTGAATTAGCCTGATTTAATCATTGCACACCCTATACAGATAGCAACACATCACATTGACCACCATGAGTATGTTGAATTTGCATTTGTAAATGTTTCAAAAATTTAAAATAACGAGTAAACAAATGAATAAAATAAAGCCCATCCTAAACGTCCCTGAGCCGAAGATAGGGCGCCATCCG